AAACCAAGAAAAACAGTGAGCCATCTTAGCGTGTGAAAGCAAATGTGTTTTTAAAAATGATGTTAGTAGTTTAAAGATATCTTTCTGTTTAAATTTATTGAACTATAGCCAGATTTATTCAATTAAGATAATACGTTTCAAGGTTAACTACCATTTGCTGTTCACTTAGGCAAGCTATTGTGCAGTTATGTAAATTTCATGAACAGAGACACGACTTGAGTGTCTTAATTACAAGCAAAAAGTGTCATTTAAATATGAATAAGTGAATAGTTGCCTGAATTTCCTGTTCACTTTCTGCTGTCATCTTTAAGACCAAGAGCTAACTAGCCACCTATGCTGTGCTCTCAGTTTTTCTGCCTCTAAAAGAGGGGGGGGGGAAAGAAAGCTGTCATATAAATGCATGTAAAGCAGACGATGCGGGGAATGTCCCAGTCTTACAGTTGTTATTAGCACCCTGAATTTTAATTTACTCAGATCACAATGAACAGCAATAAGTACGCTGTATTTCTGTGGAATTCTCTGCATTTCGATTTGATATCTATATTAAAATTGTACCATCTATTATTTCTGTGTAAAATCCTGTGGCAGCAACTTTATGACAAGTCTGCAAAGGGCTTATTTTGTATGCTTCTATTTTCAGTGCAAAGAGCTATTATGAATTCCTCTTATTTATTTATATGCACATAGTTGTGTTCAAAATAGTCTGTTTCCTTATTAAATTACAGTCAGTCGAAATTAAATTTTATGTAACAAAGAGTTATGTAGCAATATTCCCCCATCATCTCTAGGTCCGAATTCCCTGTCTTCCTATCGTGTTGATAGTTTGGGATTTTTTTTCCCATTGTTTTGAATTGTCTGTCTCTCCAAAAATGACCTAGAAAGAAATCTGTTGTTAATCACATATCAACGAGGGAGGGATGATTGGTTAATAAAAACCATGCTTCGTTTCTGCGGACCAAATGGCTAGCTCTGGTTCTCAGTATGTACAGACCCTCTTGAAAGACTGTTCCCATCCTTCAGTGATGTAGCTGCAGCTCTCCCTGAGGAATGAGAAGTTCACTATTCACTCTGTGCTTGCATCACCCTTTCCAACATGTTCCCACTGATACATTAAAGGAATTAATTGCTCATAATGATCTCACCATCTGTTAACAGAGGTTCATACCTACAGGCTGGTGGCATGTGGTGGTCCTATTCAGAAATCAATAGGCAATGCTGGGGGAACGCTTTCCCACATTGCCTTCCATTGCACTCTGAAAAGGGGAGGAGAGCTCAGTGTTGGCCATCTGCTCCTTGTCTTTCTGTGCGAGAGACCTTGATGCAGTCCAGCCCGGCTCTGATCTGACTCCAGTCTGATTGGAATGTGGCTGATCTGAGAGCCTCTCAAAGCTGTGAAAGTGAGTCAAAAGGAGATCCCCATTGTCCGGCGGGGCTGAAAGAAAATGATCACTTTAAAATTCATAACTCCCAGGTGCCCGCCATCTATTCATGGGAAAAACTCTCTGAACTTCTCTTCATTAAAAAGAGAGGGAGTCCAGCTAAAAAGAGAGAAAAGGAAGTAGTTTGTGGGAAATGTGCAAGGGATTTCAGGCTAAACAAATGAGGAATTTGGAATTTTTACTCGTATTAAAGGAACTGTGTAAGGAAAGGGAAGCATTTGTAAAAGCAGGGCCTTTGCATCAGGGGCCCTTCCCTAGGGTCCTTTAGCAAAATAAAAAAGCTTTTTTTTTTTTCTCTGAGGATTTTTCCCTCCCTTTTCCTCTTTCTTACCTGTGTGAATGAGAATAGGAATAGTACATGAATGAGCCTGTCTTGCTTTATGTGATAAATTAGAATGCATTCAGTCTACCCTGCTCCCCCTCTCCCCGCATGTATTTTATTGTTCAGGCTGCATATCTGACCTGATAACAAATGTAAACTGGAGCCAAGTATCCTCATTGAGAATTAGACTTTGGAGGGGTGCTCCGTCAGCTTGGTGCCTGAAGTATTCCCCATCCCTATGTCTAATAATCTGAGGATTTGCCATATCAAAGGAGAGATTTGGGGATTCTTCCCTTCCTCCACTTTCTCATTCTTTTACCTCACCTGATCACAATGCTTAGGTGCACTGCAGTGCTCCTTAGTCCTGTGCTTCTCCACAGAGCCTTACACCATCAAGTGGATTTATGCTTCTTCCTGCAGCAGGAATGATATTATCTATGTGATCAGAGGTGAGGAGTGCCAGAGAGAATAATGCAGAGTAGATTTTAAGGCAAGAACAGACTATTTGGATGACTTGGTCCAACTTTTGCAACAAAGGCTGAAGAATTGTTTCCAATAATTCTCATTCAAAGCACATAACTATAGGCTAACTACTTAGTATCTTCTGAAATCCAATTACAACGTAATGATTTTGAGGGAATTCATACATTGGTAAATTCTACTGATACTTATCTTTGACCTATTTCCAATCTAGAGTATCCATTTCAAGCTTTATCCTGTCCTGTGTGACTACTGGGGTTAGGCATACCTGATAGCACAAAACAAGCTGTGCAGTGTGTCTGATTACACATGTACCTCCTCCCAGGTTGTAGTCATTGTCTTCAGTGAAAAGCATTTGCATAGTTTTTGATGTGGTGCTCAGCCACCTCCCTTATTCTGGGACTCTTCTACCCTAAATGCATCTGTCTCCTATGTTTTCCTGCCTTATAACACTCAGTAAGAAGAGTAGTGCTGTAAAGCATCTGTTTTCCTGAGGTATTTTTATTTGAAGTAGTTATGATCCTTCTCAGTGGGATGGTGTTCTGTTCACCCCATCTTGTCTTTCAGATTAATTCAAGATGGAGCTAGTTGCTTCTGTCCACCATTTTCTGGGGCTTTTCAGAGAATTATAGCATAGCTTAAGTTGGGTTGGACCTTAAAGACCATCTAGTTCCAAACCTCCTGTTGTGGGCAAGGTTGACATCCACTGGATCAAAGCCCCATCCACTCTGGCCCTGAATGCCTCCAGGGATGGGGCATCCACAGCTTCTCTAGTGGCCTGTGCCAGTGCCTCACCACACCGAGTAAAAAAATTTATCCTAACATCTAGTCTACATCTCCCTTCTTTTAGTTTAAAGTCATTCACCCATGTCCTATTGCTATCTGCCCACGAAGAAGTCAGTCTCCCTCCCGTCTAGAAGTTCTCTTCAAGTTCTCTTCAAGGAGAAGGGTCACCATATGGTTTCCCCAGAGTCTTCTCCAGGCTGAACAAGTCCAGCTGCCTTAGCCTTTTTGCATAGGAGAAGTGCTCCAGCCTTGCGATCATCATTGTGGCCCTCTTCTGGACCTGCTTCATCAGGTCCAAATGACTGAGAGGCAACGTTCCAGCAGACAAAGAGGTTTGTTTTATAATCTCATGATAATGTGCTACATCTCTACTCTCCACTTTTAACTGCTACTCCAACTCTTTTCAAAATCGTCAATTTCAATGATATTGTTTATGTCTCTTCACATCTTCAGTCTCACTGCATGTATATTCATCAGGTCAAGTGCTCCTTGTACCATAACTAGAGTCAGTATTTGCATAGTAACTTTCAGAAAGAACAGAGGAGCATTGCACCCTGGCTTACTTAGTGATGTTGGAAGATTACGTTACAATTCACACTTAACAATCCATTCACTTAAAAATAAAGCAATAATAATTAAAAGTGTTAGGAGAAAAATACACATTGCAAAGTATCACTCCACATTTAGACCTTACTCATTAAATACGCATCCTTAATCTGAATTGTGATTGCTTTTGTGTTCCTAGTGCTGTAAATTCTTTACTTTTGTGGCTGCTTTCTGTTCTTGAATGAACTGCCTTGTTTCTAGAAACTTTAGATAAATATATCTAAGATAATACGTCATTGCTATTTTAAAAAGTTTTTTGTAATGAAATATGCAATGATTACTATAGCTATAGCTATCTCAATTATAAAAATAACTTTTTCTCAGAGATGTGTTCATTGCTCAGTTTGTTTTCAGTGAACATTTTGTTTCCAACTAGTCTCTCTTACCTGAAATTCATGGCTAGTATCAGAGTTAATTGAGCAGAACACTTTAGTGATCTAAACAAACCATCAGATGTTCACTGCAAGTAAGCGTAAATCCAAAACTGAACATATTATTGTGTCTTACTATTACTTCTTTACCTTGAGAACTGATTATAAGTGGAAGCCTCCTGTGCATTACACACCGTATGCACGCTGTTATAAATGGTGCCTGCCCTACCAAGCCCAAATGAACAAGGCAGATGCTCAGCATTTGTAAGGGTTGTGCTGTCATTTAGGAAGACTGTGTAAAGTGATCTCAGACAACATATGCCAAATTCACAAAAAAAGTAAATAAAGTTATTTACCTCTTTAGTTCTCCAATGTTGCGTAGTCCCTTTGAGCTACAGTAAAGCTCCATATGAATAATGTTTGAAAAGTGAGGTGTAGAAGAACTGTATGAGAATTTACATGTTCAAACATGATAGATACAAAGCTAGGAGAGGAGACTGCAGTTTCTACGGGGAGGAGCTTGGCAGGAAGAGTTCATGCTGATTACAGATGGAAAGGAAAAAGCAATTTAAAGAGCTTAAAATATGACTATGGCTCTATGCTATTCTTTTCCCAGTAGCAGATATGGTAGAATACACAACATACTACTGTTCAGTTTTGCTTCCTTCAAGCAGTTGCTTTCCCTCTGTTGCCCAATTCAAATGTCTGCACTGTGATACTTGAAGGAAGATCAGTAAGAATTTGATATTAAAAGAAAAAAGCAAAAACACCTTTTAAAACAAAAAATATAATGAGGCAGAGCATAATCCTTTGATTGTGACTTAAAAACTGAGAGTTGAATGTATCATAAAAGGCTTTGAGTGTAAAATCTTATGTAAGGTCTTTCCTAGTATTCTTTAAAGGAAAAACTTGAGGGGAACAGGAGAGAAGTCCCAGGAATTTGAGGCACTGCCATTTTGAAGTACATTGATGCTTTCTTGCATCATAAACACTGCACAGGTGGGCTTGGAGAATCTGTTTGCTGTCCTCTTTGCACTGCCAGCATGGTATTTCTCTCTTTCTCTGGTACACACTCAGACCAGGTTTTCAAGAGTAGAAAGACATGGAAGGATGGGCATTTGTGGGGATATTTCAAGGATACTGAAATGATTTAAGTGCTGTTTAATTCCCTTTAACTTTAGACTCAGCTTGTAAAACAAATATAATTGCTGTCTTCAATTTTAGGTCTCCACCTCACTAATCTGAATAAGCTGACCTTTCGTATCAAGTTCCTTCAGCCAGGGCAGGGGAAAGGGAGCATAATAGTGTAGAACAGCCATTTATTAGGAGTGATGTGTGATTTGTCATGTTAGGTGCCTTCCATAGGCACAGGAAAGTAACCAAATGTGCCACTTTTTTTCCCTCCTTTTTGTGGTACATTGCCTGCTATTAGTAAAAGGTGAAACAGCTCCAAGTACTTGAATAAGATGATACCTAATGGTCGGGTCTTGTCATTGCTGTGAAACAGCTGTGCGGGAACTTGAATCTGGAAATCCACACCAAATAAATCTTCTAATCTCCAGGCTCTCATGAGACGTGAACAGAGAGAAGACCACTGACTAAGAGCTGCAACTGTGTATGCGATACCTTCCAGATGACTCATCCTTTTTTTGACTGAAAAACATTTGTAAGAATACTTCACACATGCATTGTCCCACGTTTGTTCACAATAGAAGTCTGTACAATAATTTGCAACTTGAAGTGTTTTATCAGAGAATTTTTAGTGTAACTAAATTGCATAATATTTAGGATTTTTTACTCAAACTGTGGCAGGAATAACTCCATAAACTTATGGAGTATTGCACTGTTGTGGAAGATCACATTGTTATGGAAGTCTTAATCATGTACATATACAACAAAAATGTGTCTACATTTGCATGATTGTATGTAGGTATATTTATTCCAAGAACAATTATTGAGGAAATAAGTTATTATTTTGAAACTTTTTTTTTTTTTTTTTACATGCAAATACAGCTATGTGTATTTGCTTGCAGTTGATAGGAAACTTTCTCACTGATCTACTATCTGTATTGAATCCACCTAAATTCAGCATGAAGTTCAAAGGTTTATTATCAAAGATAATTTCATTTCCTCAACTCACATTAGTACAGAAAGTTTAGATATTGTCATGCTGGGAGCTCTGTATGCATTTGAGGATGATGGTTTCTTTGTTGCAGAATTCTGCCATTAGGGTGGATGACCATTAGTCTGTCTTACTGCTCCAGCAGTGACCAGCTGCAGATGTCTCAGGACCAGGACAAAAACAGGACTGATGTGCACTGATATTTTCCCCGAATACTTTTAGCTCTGCATAGTCCTGCACTGGAAGTGATATCTTTCTGTTTAATGGACCTTGTAGAAGCTCTCCTCTACAGGCAACCTCAAGTCAGGCACTGTTGTTGATCCTCATATTTCTGGGAAAACTGCAAGGAAATGAGCCATTAAATATAATGTATTATAATCCAAATATATGAATGGAAGACTATTAGGCCTCACTGGATATTTATGTATGGAGTTAATAGGTGGTGTCATTCTGGTTGATTATAATTCAAGTTTTATAATTTAAATATAAAGCCTATGTTATTAGCAGTCTGTATTGTGATGGTTTAGACATTATTCAAATACACAGCTCAATTTATGGCCTGTTAATGCCACAGGAGGCCCCCGTCCCATTGAATGATCCTTTTCAGTTTCTGCTCCTGCCTAAGTTAGTGAGCATGTGGGACAGCAGCATTTGCTGCAGATGGGCAACAAGTGCTGAAGCTTTTATTTTAGCTCAGCGCAGAATGCAACTCATGCGAAGCTGAAATGAAACAATTCACTAGTGCTGTTAAAATTGTAGAGTACAGATATGGTATCTCAGTCCCATGCTTGTAGTCTGGCAATTTTGTCAAGCTGTATATGGTTTGTGTAAACATGGAGAAAGATGCAACCATACACAAAAAGGTTTTGGAGTTACTGGGAAACAGTCATTTCCAAATGATGTTTGCCAGTGTCTTCCTTTGTACACTAAAAGCAAAAAGAATGAGGTGTGTAAACTTATTAACAGCAAATTTGGCTTGTGGACTGGATCATCTCTGTGGCAGCAGGTGGATTCACTCTCCTCTGTTTGGCTTCTTCTGATGGGGAATCCATTTGAGACTGAGACATCCCCACCTCAGGCCTATGGGCTCTCTGAGGGAATCCTCCTGTGCCCAAAGCAAGACGAGTCTTGTCTCACGCCCTCTTTTGGGGCTCTGTGCAGAAGAAATGGGAGCTCTTCACAAGCACTGGGGGTCAGGAAATGAGTGCTCACACCATGCTTGCTGATCAACAGAGGGATTACTTATTGCTGGCAGAACATGCAAGATCTCTAGTCTGTGATCTCTGATGTAGCAGAGGGTGCAGGGAAGTGTGCTTTCGGTAGGCAGATGGCCTGTCTGTCCTGCACCTCCATTGTTGTGCTTTGATGGCCAAGTGCAGAGATGCTGGGTGGTGCTGGGCCATCTCTGTGGTGGCAGGTTGATCCACTCTCCTCTGTTTGGCTGCATCTTTTGGGAACTCACTTTCATGGCTTCTTCACTGTCCACTGCTAGATGGCGAATCAGTAGCCTCATGCCATTTCCTGCCCAATGGACACTGCTGGATGTCATGCCTGACCAACCTCTCAGTGAAGAACCATTTCTTCACACCCAGCCTGAGCCTCCCCTGACACACATCCATGCCATTCCCTCAGGTCCTATCACTGTCACTAAAGAGAAGAGATTGATTCTGCTCCTCTGCTCCCCTCATCAGGAAGCTGTAGCCCATCGTGAGGCCTTCCCCTCAGCCTCCTCTTCTCTGGCCTGAACAAACCGAGGGACTTCAGCTGCTGCTCCTACCTCTCACTTTTCTGGATCCCTTGCTATCCTCGTAGCCCCCCCTTAGGATGTTCTGTAATAATTTCATAATCCTCTTACATTATGGCAATCATGTTAGGTCATTTTAAAATAAATACTGTTGTATTTTAAAAAGGGGGGAAAATGTCACTGTTTTTAAAAAGCTTTCTAGTTGTAAGTGGTTTTAAAGATATCAACCAAAAGATTCAGGAGGGTTTTTTGAAAACCCCCATAGCTGACTGTGCTAAAACAAGGAAGAGCTTGGACTGGATAATCTCCTTAATTCTCTTCCAACCTGTCCTACCCTATGATCCTATGAACACGTGCCTGAGATGACAATGGATACTCCAGATCCATTGCTCATGGAAGAATCACTGGAACTTAATTCAGTACAGATTCATTGTCTGCTGCTTTTTCTTGCATAGCCACTCCACCGTTTTTGTATTCCCCTTTGTAGCCCTGATTCAGAATCTCTTTAGTAGTTTTATGTCCTTTTTATTTTGTGCCACCCAAAACCGTATACACTCTGGTGAGGCCTCCATGGCACAGAGTTGGTTTTCAGAAGCGTGTACTCTGAATGTAACCAGTGCAAAGCAGAAATGCATGAAGCTGCTTATCAGCTATTTAGAAAGGGATGAGCTGGTTTTTACGTGGTTTTCTTGGATGAATATATGAAATAAATATTTTGTTCTGGTGGCATACTTGATATTGAAGGAATGGGCAGTTTTGAAGGAAGTGAGAGAAGAGTTTTGAAAGCCATGCACAAGAAGGATATGTCTGGTGAGATAGCTTAACGTGGGAATTAGCACTTTGCAGTCACATTAAGTACCACACATGCATTACACAGTGAAAAATTAAGGCACAGCTTTCAGTGGGCAATTTTGAGCTGCCTTTTTTTGCTGATCAGAACTGAGACTAAATGCTGGGGAAATGCTCTCATCTGATTGCTCCCAAATCCTTCCTCCATTCTGGTGTTATGGTGTGATTCATTGCCTCACTGGCTTTGTCTGAAAGTAAAGGTATAAGAAAGTACAAGTATGCTGAGCATTGCTCAGGGACATGATTTAGCAGAGGGTTGTTGGAATTAGGGTAACATGGTTAGGTTGTCATTGGACTTGATCATCTTGAAGGAATTTTCCAACCTGAGCAATTCTATGATTGTATGATACTACAACCTTTAACATATGCTTCTTTGTATAGGCCACTTTTTAAAAGCTGTTACATTGGTGTGATTTCACCCAGTGATTTTGGGTGTATATGCCTTGGATAGCAGTACAGCATTCTGAAACTATAAAAGCCATGGCAGAAAGTCTGCCATTCTTAGCAACGTTGTATAGACTCTGCTTATCAGGCAGGTATACTCCGCTCTGAGCAAAATAATCAGAATTTAGAAGGCAACAGTTCCTTATTAAGTGAACAATATACGTCATGAAGGTTTGTAATACTAAAAGACAAATAGTAATAACTACTAATGTTTCATGGGGAGAGGTATAGGAGAGAAAGTCCCTGCTTTAGCCTGTTACCGTTAATGTTTTACTGATTTCTAGTGAGATATTTTAGCATAAGAAGCATAAAAATGAGAACTCTAATATCTCCCTCAATTGAATGCTGTTTTCTTACAAATGCAACATAAATTATATAGTGTTAAACCTCTTCTATATTCAATATGGTCTTCCTAAGTGTTAAAAAGATACTCAGAAACTTCCACACTATACTCCACTTGTTTGTAATGTATGTTTATGAAATCTGGTGTGGCAATATATTAAAAAAAAAAAAAAAACAAAAAAAAAACCAGGGGAAAAAAACCCCAAAAACTAGTTATTTTCATTTCTGGAGACTTTTCAGGTTTGCTTTTCAAAGACAAAAGTTTTCAACTGAAACAAAAAGCAGCAATGTATTTTGACTTCAAGCAAATACCAAATTGTATTGGGGCATCAATATTATGTTTGAGATGCTGGAAATACAATTTAGTCAGACAGCTCTTTAAGATTTTGATCCACTTCTGATTATAAATTCACAGTCGTTCTAGCAGTAACCAGCTAGGCCTGCAGTAATAAGGATACAATATCCTAGCCTTAGACCTCTTATCCTAGACTTAGTACCTACACCACAGAGAAGAGGGGTTGTGGCACATTCTGGGGCTCAGTAAATCTGGATTATTTTGACCTGGTAGAAGAAATGAATTCCTAAATCAAGGGTTCAGTTACAAGCTTCCTTTCTAATGATCTCTATTATTCTGTATCTTCGAGTATGTGTTAATTAGCTGGTAATGGTGAGAGCAAAATGCAGTGGAATACCCAAGTCTCCTCTACAAAACATGTTTTTAAATGGATTCACTTCTGAGGGAGGTCTGAGAAGGAAGGTACCAGTGGTAGAACAAAATACTTGCTGGTTGCTAAATATATTTTAGTTTTAAGACTAACTAGTGGATAGCTTGTACTTCAACCATTTGGAGTTTCCATAAATCCTAAATATTGCTGCCTTCAGTGAACAAGGAGCAACTCTTTCCCGCAAATGTTCAGGGATGAAACTTAATCTTCCACGTTTATTTTTTTTTACTTGAGAAACCATATTTTAAAAATGTTTACTTAATAAATATTATTTGCTTTTGTAAGAATTAATATATAACCTTTGGTTCTGTATTTATTGGCACGTGCTTATTGCTGTCCTTCTCTGCAGACCAGTGACTGTATTTTAGTACCAAAATTTTTTTAGGATAAAGGCCTTTTTTTCAATAGCTTTTCTGGAGTCATTCTTCTCTTTTATGGTATACATAGAAGGTGAGGAATTACCAAGGAACCCATGTCAAATGTGTATTTTTAATTTAAATGCACTCTGGCATCGCATGTATTTTCAAAGAAGACAAGGAAATAATCATCAGTGCCTTAGCAGGGATGTGAGTTAACATTTGCACCAGCCACAGATTTTTCAATTAGCACTGCCATAGAAAACCCATTCCCCCAGCTTTTGTCAATGTGCTGTAGGAGAAGAAGAGCAAATAGATTGGAAATGCTCTGCAGCTCGGGCTCCTGGGAAAATGTAACAGGTGTTACAGCTCAGCTGGGTATGAGCTTTATGAAAAAGACCCTCTCAGACTTTGCCCATAGAATTCTCTTTCCTAACTCGAGCTTCAAGTAGGAAGAAACTAATGACTTCATTACCATCTCAATTCTGGGAAATGCTTGGTCCAGACCTGAATCGTTAAAGGAAAGGTATAGCACTCTGTGTGACCTTACAAGATCAAAATGTTATTTAGAGCAATTCCATTAGTCAAGGCTGTAAACCTGAAAGAACACACCCTTTTAGGTTGGCTTTTAGGCCATAAAATGTGTGTCTGTATGTCATGGGAAGGGGGGTGGGAGGTGGAGGTGGGAGGGAGGAGAAAAACATATTCTGCACTCATTGTGCAGCACAATTTCCTCTGCTTTCTTTGAAAAGGCTCCACTTCCAGCACTTCTTCTCTTCACCCCGTGTTGTGACATATTTAATGGCTCTTGTAATTCTCACTCTTTTGGGTATTTCTAATTGGGAATGATACTGCAGCCAAGAATGATGTCAAAATTTTAAGCCACACAAACTGAAATATATTTCATTAAAGCC